TGCTGGCCTGTGTGTGTCTATTGTTTGGGAACCGACTGTGCAGAATCAACTGCTTCTCTCTTCGGTCGGTGGAGTTTGAAAGCTGGACCTCTCTTGGAACAGCTCTGTAGTCTTCTGAAAATCTTTTGGGAATCAGGAGCCATTGGCATGTCACAATGACAGGACGGCCTGCGGGGTGCCAGTGGGAGGGTCGGGTGTTTTCCATCATAACCAGCTGCTCCTCTGGCCTCCCACACAGATGACAGCCTTGTGCACCTATCTCTGACTGTTTGTATCTGAGGACAGTGGTGAGGCAACACTGAGGACTGAATGATGACAACATGACAGCTGCTGTGTATAAACTGTTTGTGGGTGTGTATATAAGTTGGGGATATTGTCGCATTTACTATCTTTGGAAGTGTTTTAATGCCTCGCATCTGTTTCCTGGGGGGTATTGCCTTAGGTTTTAACGTTCTTTGATCTCTTCGGGGAACAAATGGATGGGAAGCCTTTAACACTCTGGCTCCTCGGTGGTGACAAACCAAGTGGTTCTCCCTGTTGCACACTCATCCTGGGGTGCCCTTTAAGACCTCAAGAACATGCAGGGCCTGCCATGGGAAATGAAAGCTTATGGATAAAATCATGACTCAATCAATGATCCTCTTCCTGTCAGTGATACGCGCCGTTCTTCTAATGTGATCTGACTTGCCCGAACACATGCCCCTCCCTTTCACACACACACACAACTTCAGAAGTTTTGACAAATAAAATCCTTTAAAAAAAAAGAAACAAGACTTTTTTCCCAGCACACTGCCTGATGCCGTTTACACACGGTTAGGCGGTAACATGTCGCAACAGGCTGGCACAAATCTCCATTACCTCTTTCATAACAATATTCTAAAGCCTCGGGCAGCATCTCAACGACGTCTTGCACCTTGCCTGGGAAAATATGCTCAGGTGCAATGTGGAAAACAGGTGACAGGTCATCCACTGGCAGGTGTACAGGATTCATCATGTTCCCGGGACGTATCCTATGATGGAATTTTTCATATGCTTTAAAGTTCAGCACTACATGTAAACTTTAAACCCACTATGTAATGACAGAATACGTTTTTGTCACCAGGATAAAGAACATGTCAAGGATTAAAAAATGGCCACCTTTGACCATTGTCCTCTGCTCTTTCTCAACATTTTCCTTGAAGCAATAGTTGCACTGATTTTTTTTTCTGCCTTCTCACATTTCACGTCGCCTCTGTGTTTTTTCTTGTTGCAAAACAACATCTACATTCCTATTACATTTACTTTCTTTTACTGTTCTTAAATTAGCACAAGGCCATCGTGCCTTTAATGGTGGTAATGTGGTCATACATTATGTGGAGGGACCAGCAAATAGAAATAAATCATTCATTCCAAGCTAATAAAAAATACCCTCATGCATACTTTTGATAATGCCATCACTGTTTCTCTGTCCCCCTTTGGCCCTGCTCCTGAAATGCCCGGTCTGCTCCAAATGGCCAGCTGATTGGTCAAAATGATTATCTGTTTTGCAGCCAGTCCAAAGTAGCCAGTAGGCAGGCTTCATACGAAGCTTTTATATGGTGATGTGGACCGAAATGAGCTGACCATGAAAGAGGGTTTCAGTAATGTAGCGACAGTGTGTGAGCAGAGAATCGAAGACGAAGGAGAACAAAGCAAACATCACACCATCAGCATGTGGGCATTATTATTCATCGCAGGAAAACGTGCTGATCCCAGCATTTAGTTCAGATTTCTTGCTAAGCCCAATAATTATTGCTTTCTTCTGTATCCCATTGAGCGGAATACATTTGTTACCCTCATTTTCAAGTCAAACTAAAGTTTTTCCCCCCTTTCATGTCCAGCAGACATAACACTCATCATCTTGCTTAGGTGCCACACAAGAATTTGGGAGTAGTGACAGTTTAAAAAGCTGGGTCAGGCTACTCTCTGAGAGCCTCTTGTTTCCTGTCCCATGGTCGAAGTAAGGTTTATTTTCTCCATCCCCTCTCCAATCCCATCTTCTTCACTGTGAGGCAATGCCCAGAAGGACACACAGGAAAAGGGGAGAATTCAGCCACCCCCACCCCCCACTTTTCTCTATGTTTCTCACTGGCATCGAATCCGCAGCAACACATGTCTCTGATCAAGTCCAGCCTGCGTCATCAGTTAGTAAACTCCAGGCTCCAGGAAAACCAACAGAGAGCACATTCATAGCCGGCGACCCTGTGACTGTGTGTGTGATTCATTACTCTTTAATATGCACCCTTACCCCATCCCCTAACCCACCCAACCACTTCTCCAATCCAGCCTTCGGGCAACTCTACAGCCTGATCAAATCCATCATTAAGCATACTTGCGGTGTTACCACTGTTGGCCGTATTTACTAGATGCAGGGGTTTGTGTCTCTGGCATGTTTGCAGCTCAGCACAGATTAGCTCTGTGTTCTGACATTTGCTTTCAGTCCTTTGAACTTCACTCTGTCAAGAGTGAGATAGCAAGACCCTAAGAAGATCTTCTTGGGAAGAAAACTCCCCACTGCATTTCAGTCTGACAAATATGAACCCAAAACATGAAAGCAGGACGATAAACAGTGAGAGGTGTTAATCTTGGTGGGGAGAAAAAGGGAGTGATGCATGAGGTTAGAGGGGTTTCAGGAGGGAACCCATCAAAACAGATCAATGTGTCAAATTTTAAACATAAAGCATATGGATAACTTTGTCTTAGTTTCCCTTTATGGCTTCTGTTTCCACACAAAGGCCATGGCTGAGGTTATATTTCATACTTGTCCACTGGTGATGGTCATCTTACTGTGAGGAGGCGGTTACATCTTACTAAAACGAGCAGCGGTCCTCAGGTGATAGTCACAAGCGTGACAGGCAGCTGATCTATATGATGCGTCAATGTTATGGCTCATTCTGAGCATCTAACCGAACCACAGCCTGGAGCGGTTGTTTGAAGGCCTTTCCTGGGAGAATTTTTCCCCGCGTCTTGTGTGTCATGAGTGCAGGATGAGTTGTGTTTACGAGACGCTGACAGCTCCTTCCTGTCTCGCAGACCGTGAGCCCTGGCTGCTGCTGCTCTGAAGGCCGCTTTCTAGGTCCTGGCCACCCAGCTCCACCCCGAAAAGCCCGGCTAAAAGAGCAGCCATGGGTGGGACAGCTGAGATGAGGGGGATGGGACATGGTGGTGGCAAAGTGCAGCGGCAGAACAAGGACTTCATCTCTGCAGCGCTTCAAGCCAGGCCTGCTTTTTTTTCTTGGGGGGGGGGGGGGTAAAACAGTCCAATGTAAACTCCTACTTCCTGTCAGCCTTGTCTCAGAGGGGGAGAGATGATCCTCCTGTGAAGAGGGAAAGGGCTGCTGTTCTGAAGGGACCATTTCCACTTACTACACACACACACACACACACTCATAAATAGAAATACAGCCGTTGAGGCAGGCAGTGTGAGTGGGAGAGAGCGAGCGAGTGAGCAAGGAATACACAAACACAGTGGGGTTCAGGAATGTTAAACACATGCTTTATGGCATAAATAGCAGCCACTTTTGGTAAATTACAGTGAGTGCTCTGGCACTGTAAAGCACACAGCAGGAAAACGCTCTCAGATTTCAGATCCAAGCTCTCTTCTATCCCTAAGGAACAAGAAGGGGAGCATGTTGTGTTTTTGGTTCCATATTAGAAGGAAGAAAAAGGTACACTTTCTTTGCTGTATCAGGTAACATTTCAACACTGAAATGTATGAAATCATACAGCCCAAATGAGGCTGCACAGCTTCTGAGGAAGACCCTGCCCATGTTGTGAAGGTGCAGAAGAAATTCTACAGACTGCAGCCTATCTTGGCCACCTGAGGAAATAATGAAATTCAGAGAAGTAAAAGAGACCCATCCATCTATTGTCCATACTGCTTATTCCTAGTAGGGTCAGGGTGAGGCTGGAGCCATTCCCAGCCGTCACTGGGTGAGAGGCGGGCTCACCCAGGACAGGTCAGAAAGACAAGATGCCAAAAAGAAAGTTATCCAAAAGAAACAGTCCACATTTAGATACTGGTGGTCTGTTGCTGTTGCTCTCTAACACAACTAATGTCCTCACCTCAGAATGTTACAGCTTGCCCCATGAAAACAGCCCAAGGCTTACCTGCAGCAGGACTTTTAATGGTCCTATTTTATCCAATACCATTTAGTGTAAAAAATATATATATATGGCCGAAGGGAAAACTCAACCGAGGACTCTCACATTAGTTTCCACGTTTGGCCTGGTTGGTGTTATTTAGGGGTTGTTTTAAATCTGTCTAGGGGAGCTCATTTAGAGCAGGGGGTGTGAGGTGAGCAGAAGCTGGCTGGTAGCTGCGAACACATTTGCCTGACTCAAGAGGAAACCGGGAATGATGCTGTGGAACAGCTTAGCTCACTCTGCGCCGGGCCTCGGCCCACGCACGCCGACTGACTGACTTACTGACTGAGCAGCAGGCTGACTAGTAACCTGACTTACTGACTGAGAGCGGAGGAGCCATGGGAACCTAAAAATCCTGTCTGGGCTGACTCTGACTCACCGTCTAGGAAGAGGAGAACATTACGCTCTTCTCAAAGAGAAAACAATTAGGAATGCGGTTATCACTGATCACGTAAAGGTATAATTTCATCTTTAAATCAATTAAAGAGAGAAAAGCAGACACACTCTTCGCCTGAAGCGTACACTGATCTGATTTGCATGTCCTCAGTGTTTGCACAGTGACAGTGAGAAGTAGACAGTGGGTAGAAACTGGAAGCAGGTGCATCAGTTGTTCCTGTCCATCACAATGTGTGTTCACCTGCACATCTGAAATTCGGTTTTAAAACAATGGCCACTTTATTCCCCATATAAGATGCTAAACAGAAATTCCCCAGTTAATGATCAAACAGAGTTTTATGAACTCAACGTCTCAACCGTACTACCTCCATAATCGTACCAAAGCCAAGATCAAGCTGCGGCAAAGCCTTCCTTTCGCTTAAGTAAACAACAGAGGGAGATTTAATAAACATAAATTACTTTATTGAATGAAAAGGTTTCAGTTACGACATATACAGGGAATAAAAGTCAACACACAAGCTTGGTACAAAAAAAAAAGAGAAAATTAAAACAAAATAACATCATCTGCACATTGCACTAGAAAACAGCCATAAAATATTTAGGAAAGTTAAAAGTTCATCTTTGGACTGTCCATTCAAAAGGCGTTAATCACATGTTGGGCAACCATGATTCCATGGTGTAAACAGTTTTAAAAAAAAGAAAATCTTTGGTCCCAGCCTTCTGACATTTCAAATTCAGCTAATACTGCAATCAGATTTTAAAGCCACGACACATAAACGAGGTAAAAAAAGGCACATTTTGGTTGTAGAAGTAATACAATTTAGAGGAACATTCATTTAAGTAGTATGGCTTTGTCTGGTAAATTTTAACACTGTAGTAACCTTGAGTGCATGGCTTTTCATTTTCATCCACATTTCATCTTCTTTGGGAAAACGGCTTTTTCCTATCTACGAAACTCATCGGATTAAAGAGAAGGTCCGGGTGTAGTCATAACAGAGGCTTAAAACGATCCTCGCTGGCGAAAAAAAAAAGAAAAGAAAAGAGAAAACTTTCTGGTGCCATTCTTCTGCAGTGACATGCTTCCTCTTTTTTTTCTTAAGCAAAACCAAGGGCAGTGGAAGTCACCTGCTATCAACCAGCGAAGGTCAGGACTGTGGCACCTGTTAGCACCTCGTCTATCTACACCACAGTACCAGGGACAGCTGCGTGTGCATTTGATTTGGTGTGTGCGAGCGTGTGTGTGTGCGTGTGTGTGTGTGTTCGGTGACACGCCAAGAGATTTATCCCACCCACGCACCCCTACCTCTGAGCAGCTGTGTCTAGGCCCTAGGATCCTGAGCTGGCCTGCACCAGGACAGAGGTAGGAAAAAGACACCTCTTATCCCAAAAGGGGTTTCAGGACGTAATTGTTGTTTGGAATGGACACGAGAGCAAAAAAACAAAAAAAACAAACAAAAAGAACTCTTTATCACGTGAGTTTTGGTAGTGTTTGGTTCAGATTTGGTCCAGCCTCAAGACACTCGGTCAAAACTGGAAGAAAAAAACAAAATGAGCCTCTCTGCTCTCTTATAATAGAACAGAGGAGCTAAGTAGCTGGTAAAATCAGCTCCACAATGAGGTTTAATTCCCCTCTCGGTCTCTTAGATTAGGCCGTTTCATGCTTTCTGTGGTCTTTGCATGTCCGAACCGGCTGGCAGGGCTTGTGTGAACCTCCTTTTCTGAAGCGGGTAAGTCCTCTGCTCTGAACTTCTGGTCCTCTCCGGGCTCACACCGAAGTGGAGCAGCACCCTGAGGAGCTGTGTTTTTGCAGCAGTGACATGCGGCTGAAAGTGCGAGAGCAGACGCCGCACTGGTACTTCTTCACCTCGGCGTGGGTCTGCAAATGCGCCCGCAGGTTGGAGCGGTCGGCGAAGGCCCGGTTGCAGTGGGGGCAGGAGAACGGGCGCTCACCTGGATGGAGAAGAACGGCAAATGCCCCGTTAAATGCGTTTGCGGTGGTCATGCTCACACTGTGACAGGTTTCTGAGTTCACAGGAACTTTCCTTCAACACCTCACAAGCACACACACACACACATTGTAAAGATAATGAAGAATCACATGGTTGGCTGGTGGGGTCAGAGCCTGACTGAATTAGCATGATTCAATCAGTCAAATGAGATTAGCACGCTAACAAGTTGCTGCAGGTACTAAGTGCTCAGTGATAGCAGTGAGCCCTCCAGGCATTCTTTAAGTCTTTTGTCCCTCCTCCGTCCCTATTCTGCTCTCTTCCCCTTGCAGCCGTGATAAGATAATTAGGCGACGAGTCATTGTTGTGGGGACATTAAACACAAAGAGTGATCAATGAGCCCTGAGTCGACAAAGGGCTTCCCTGTGTGATAATGTCTGCTGATCAAGTGTTGACTTCATCAGATTGATTATCACGGCCAAATGCTGACTCACAACAGCCCAACAGTTTGCCATCCACTCAAGAAACGCTGATTTCTCCATATCTGGGTCAAGTTTCGATCTGGAACGTCTTGTGATGTTTTATAACGCTGCTCTTACCTGTGTGCGTGCGGATGTGGCCGCGCAGCAGCCACGGCCTGGAGAAGGCCTTTCCACAGGTGGTGCACACGCAGGGCAGGGTGTGCGAGCGGATGTGCATCTTCAGAGCCCCCAGACTGGTGTATTCTTTGGGACAGTGTTTGCAGAGGAAGGCCGGCCTGGCCGCCGTGGCGGGGGTCTCCCTTTCCCCCTCCTCCTCCTCCTCCGGGGGGCTGACGTGGGCCATGACCCCCGTGCACTTCATCCGCTGGCGGGGGGCGTACGTGTGCACGGGCTCGGGGCTCGGCGGGTCGGAGGTGCGGCCCTCGTCCTCCTCGCCGCTGCTGCTGGCGTTGCTGCTGAGGCTGGACGGGGAGCTGAGGTCCAGCGGGACGGAGGTGGCCGAGGGCTCGGACTGAGACGCGGGCAGGTAGAGGGTGGGCAGGACGCTCAGGTCCCAGACCAGACCCGCGGTGAAGCAGGTGCTGTCTGCCGATGAGAGCTCAGCGAGAGGAAACCTCTCCAGTAAGCTGTCTGAGAGATTTAAGACAACAGAAAAATTCTATTAAACAGAAACTAAACCAAATTATGGAGTAAATCTGAAACATGTCAGATGCATTTTAGTTATGCCCATCACCTGCACCCACATTGTTCTGCTCACACCTGTTGTGTGATTTCTAAAAAATTTCTCAGCTTTGACTGAGCATAAAATAGGAGCCATATGGGAAAGTTCCACGGGCCGTTTCCTCCCACGTATTCACAAGGGCTTGTAACATGAATGGAGCTCTGTGTGCGTGCAGAAAGGGGGGAAAGTGCATCTAACGGGCCTCGACTTGATCGAGGAGAAGCCCGATTTACAAAATATTCCCTGCACGATTTAACATAAAGCAGGTGGTCCTCGGTCGGTGCGTCGACCCGTAAGTAAGACCGCTGTCATAACAAATTGAAGGAATAAACATCTTTGTGACTCACCATTCTGATATTCCAGTTCACTGTAGTTTGGTTTTTGTTTCGCGAAGTACTTTTTGACCAAAAAAGATCGAGGCATTGTCCTCCTGCGTCTTCACTGTCTGTGCGTAAAAGTAACCTGTGGTCACAACGCACCGTTTCTGCAAGGTGAACAAAAAAAAGCAGATTTGATCTTAGCCAACGAGTTCCTGGGAAGAGACGGAGAAATACCCTCCGCAAGTTGGGGTGGACTTCAGCAAACCAAATGATATGTGCAGCCTCTACGCAGTGACTAAATGCTGGCCTCTGTTCTGAAATAGTCTGACACAGGCAGTTAGGGGTGTGCTCGCCCCGAGGGCCCTCCCCACTCAAGTGTTTAGGAAGAAGCCTCCGTGCTCAGACAATCTGCAGCAAATAGAAAACATTAACTCCAACGCGGAGGAATCCAGCGGTGCTGAAGGGGGAAAAAAAGAAAAGAGTGGAGGAACTTCAGCTGATGGCGTAAAGATAACGGATCTGTGGCTCACTGTGATCCATAGGAGCAGATTCCCGACACGCGATTTATAGATTTAACATCTGTGAAGCACTGATTGATTATGGTTATGTAGACGTGCACAGGACCATCTCCGTCCCTCTTCTTCTCTCCACACACACATACACACACACACACGTACCTTCCCATTACTGTAAGGTGTCTTCTGTGTTAACCTATTAGTGTTATTATTTGGTCTCATTTGATAAAGATCTAAACTTATTTGCAAGTTCATTATTTTTATGGACCTTCGAATAAATTAGGTGGGGTCGTTGTGCCATCTGCTGGAACAAAGTAAAAAAAGAAAATGTGTTCAGTTAATGCAAGGAGACACTAGGTGGCGCAATGTCGCACAGAAAATAAGAGCTGATGGCAAGTTGTGTGACTTGACAAAAAAAAATCGAACGTCTGTTTTCTTTTTTTAACTCGGCAGGAATAATCAATATTTTTCTAACTTTCTACTCTACTTACCTCCAACTTATTGTTTTTGAATATGGAAATATTGTCACAACAGATTCAATTAGAATGACTAAAGCCAATGCTTTAATGATGAAAAACAGAGTAATATGTGTATAGTTGTGAATCATAGGGCTTTCACTACAAAAACAGTTCACTTTAAAGATATGAGAGAAGTTTCAATAATGGCTTTTAATTGTTAGTTTTAATAAATTAGTTTGTTTGTTAAGAGAGATGTTTACTGTGTGTGATAGGGTTTAAAAGTTCAGTTAATTTAGCTCTGAGGAATTAGAATAATATTAATAATAATGATGACAAATATACGTTCCCACAGATATCTGGGAATTCAGCAAAGCTTGAAGTATCAGAACATTTGACAAAAAGTCTACATTAATAATTGGTTCAAATAGTTATAGTATCATCAACAGTCAAAGGTTTTCATGAAATTAAACAAAACTGCCAAAAGCACTGTGACCCTTTGGTGGAACTTAAACAAAACTGAAAAGAAATAAACCAAAATAAAAACGTTCTTTGAGAGAGCGCAATAATAATAAATGACAGTACAAAAACTAGGTTTACATTCTTTTTCTGACACAAGATGATCCTCAGTTAGCACTGAAGGTGAAAAAAAGTTAACATGTTAAATGCAGTCACCAAAACAAACAAACAAGCAAACTAGAAAGCTCAATGAATTATTTAAGCCTGCATGAGTTCCACTGAATGATAGGCCTTAATGGATGATCTCACTCAAGAAATGCACAGCAGGGCATTGCCAACAACCTTCATAGCTGAGCACCAGTCCATTGTGAATAATGTTCTAAAGATAGAAAACCTAGTAGAGCTTTTTAGGGTAACTTTATTAAATCAATTTTATGGTTAGCATGCATCCAACAGAGCATTAACGTGGCTCAAAAGAAATGGATGTGACCTACTTAATGCCACCTTTATCTTTGGAAAACAAATTCAGAGAGTACAGTCTGCCATTATAAGAGCCAGGGATCACACCACTTCCTGGACAACTGTTACAGTTCCTTGGTTCTAGCAGCACGTTGAATACAACACAAAAACGACAAACGTATGAAAAAAACAAGTTAAGTTACGCAATATACTCCTTGGCTGCCTCTCTTCTCTGTGTTGCCTGTTTTACACATGCAGCCGTTTTCACACAAAAAATAAAAATAAATATAAATATATAAATGTCTTAAGCTTGTGAAATTTGACGGGAGTTGTCTTGGCTGCTGAGTTTCCTCTTAGATAAGAGTCAAATCAAACTTCTGGCCACGTTCCCGGCATCTGATTGGTGCTTTCCTATTTGTGGGCGGGGTTAGAGGCGGGGATAACACCGCTCGGGTTCGGTTGGATATTTGAAATACAAAACAACAATCCCACTGGGGCGAAGTGCTGGCTTATATGATAAGATAGATAGAGCTCTGATTTTGTTTTTGTTGTTTTTTATTAAAAAAATATTCATACAGAAAGTCCACGATGGCCTTTGGGTCCAACTGAGAAACTAACTGCTGGTAAGTGGATGTTTATGTATACTACTGTTAGAGAATAACCCGCTGTTCATAATGTTCTTAAAAACTGTCCCCAGTCATTAAAACATGTCTCTCATCTCCTCCCAGTGCAGATATCCCCCTGCCGTGCCGGCATTATTGGTTTGTTAAGGATTAGTACTGTTGATCTGTGGCTTTGTGTGCGTAAACAAAGGAAGACGCAGCTCGAGCGAGACTAATTTAGAGGACACGCATGCAAACCGTTCCCCCCCCCCCCTTTTTGATCAAACCTCATCTTTCTAGATGCGCTAGTTTTTAAACCTAATGTTGCGCCTGTGGTGGTCACACGTCCCAGCGTTAACACGGAGAGCAGGGAACGTTTAACTGAACCACTCAGGATCCAGGGTTTCCAAATGACAGGAGGTTTAAAGAACGAAGCTCCACCTCTCCCACACTTAGGAGACAGATGGACAGAACAATGCAATCCTGGGGGCGTTGCCGTCCCCTTAAAGCCCACTGTACATCCAGATATCTTATTGGACGCTCTTGTCAGCTGACCCAACCCTTTTTGAATTTTAAAAACATAAAGAAGAAAAGCCTCTCCCTCTCTCTCTCCTAAACAATCAGAGTGATTAAAGAGTCCTTATTTCAGACCGGAAGGGAATGCCACTGTATTTTAGAGGCGCAGTGATCTGGAAACTCCTTAATCACCCTGTCCTCCACAGCTTTATAGTGTTAAAACAGAGGAGCTTCCTGCTGAACTGAAGAAGGGAGGCAGAACAGGAACACCCGGTCATGTTCAGAACGATCACCCGTCTTCTGTTCGGGGAAGAGGAGGAGGCCCCTAGAGATGCCAAGTCCGGAGAGGTGGAAGAGGAAGGATGGCTTGTCGTCTCTCATCAAGGTTGGGCATCTAATGTTGAGGATTCCAGTAATGAGCAGGGACAATCTGAAAGCCGTGATAAGGTCATGAGCTTCCTGTCAAACCTAAAGATTGACATATCTGACTGTTATTTTTTATCCATTGTGAGTTCTGAGCTGCTGTTAGCCGGGGTAGAGTTTATTCAAATTTGAATTCTGTAAGTGAGCATAACATACTGTATGCACTATGTTTTGACAGAGGCATCTTCAGCTGAAAACCACGATGCTGGACTGACTGATGTTAAACAAACCAACTCTCCTCTTCATGCAAATGCAAACATGGAAAATGACAGGTGAGGAGGATTAGGTCATTTGTTGCATTTTGACCCCACTTTGCAAGTAATACTTTGCAAGCTGCTTTACAGTTTGTGGATTTCTGTCATTTGCCTCTCTACAGCATGAATGGAGAACCCCTCACCCCTGGCACCAGCCCCACCACCACTCCAGCCTTATCTGCCTCCTCCTTCCAGCCTAAAACTCTAGCAGAGCTGACAGGTTTAACCTGCATCCATAATGCGAAAGCCCGGGCAGACCGGAACCATGCGTCCCGCAACGCCATCCTGCGCCAAAACCGCCTTCATCGGGGAATCCAACAGCACGCCTTCCACCTCCAGCAGCCGGGGCATCGGAGCCTCAGCCACTGAGGCTCTGCACGCACTACCAGAAATGAAACACATCTGATGGCCTCATTCTCATTTGATCTTGTCTTAATGCACAATTAAACACCCACTCCCTCCTTTCACCGTGTTTTCAAAAGCCTCCAATTTCAACCTTGTCATACTCAACTCACTACAACAAATGACAAATGTTATCCGTTAATAGGCAGCTATGTGATTGCTTTAGCTCAAACTGGAGCTCTAACAGGAATGAGCCACGTGTCTTTGTAAGTGCATGCATGTGATTTTCTAGATGTGGATTTAAAAGGTGCCACCTATGCATAATGTCTAAATGCCTTAAATGTTTCGGGCAAAGGGACGTGTTTTGTGACAGGCATTTACCTGTATGTGCTTGGCTTTTGTACGTCAATAAAAAAACTCCCAACTTTGACAGCAATATGTCCTGATGACAGTGAACTGCTCACGGACTGAAGGAGGCAAATGTTGACCTCATTGGTTTGGAGTTGATTGCACCTGTGCTCAATTCCTGCTGAAGTGCGCTGTGTGGAGAGGGACTGCTAGAAAGGAGGGCTGCTGTGTTTTTGAGCCCTCTCAATACGCCTGGTGCCGGCGGACAGTCAGAATGGATCCTTCACCAGGAGCAAAACTTAACAAGGGATTAACATCTGACTACAAGAGTTGTGGGAATTCATCAGAGTTGGCTAATGGCTCATCATCAAGTGACTTGATTAAACATGGTGAGAGCATAGTGGTGCAGTGTGGCTGCTGGTGAAATCTTATCAGACCACATGCTGTTGTACTTCTCTCAAAAAAGTAAAGTAAATTGATTGATTGTGGGAGGGGGGACAAAAAAATTTGACTTATCAAATCAATGGCCTTACAATTCAAATGTATTCAATGCTGCCACAGAGCCAGTCCAGTTGAAAGATATGTCATCTGGAAGCCCAAATAAGTTTGACCAAGGGCTTTCCGAACTCAAAGAGGGGGAGGAGGACTTCTGCAGCCATGATGTCCCCAAACAAATGTATGCTGCACCGGTCATCTTTGCCGTTGGAGTGACCTTTGCGTTTGTCCTGACTATTTACCTGGATGCAAGATTGGTAGGTTGTGACTTCTGACCAATGCAAATCCGATCCTGACCACACTGGTTGTCCTAACCATAGCTGCCCTGCAGGTCTTAAAAGAAGGTGTTCTGTCCGATCACGAGCTTTGCACAGCGCTGGGGGAAAGAGTTCTCCGTGATGGCGGGTCCAGTGTGGATGCAGCCATCGCCGGCGCCCTGTGCCTCGGTGTGGTCCATCCTCACGTGTCAGGTGTTGGGGGGTATGTGACTCACGGACTGCGGGAACTCTGTGAGCCATACACAGAACTGCGAACTGTATCCCAACTCCTCGTCTCTATCTTTCTGCAGAGGAGGAGTAATGTTGATTCACGACATGCAGAAGAATGAAACCATGGTGATCAATTTTCAGGGATCTGCACCAAAGGCAGTCAAAGAAGAAATGCTGCAAAACGCTTCAGAAATTAAGGTAGTGGAGGGTCAGGTTAAGAAGCAGCACCGCATATTTCATTATTCCTTTAGTCTACTAATATCTATAAATGAATCTTAGGCAGGACTTCTTGTAGGAGTACCAGGTATGCTCATGGGGTTGTACAGTGCTCACAGATTGTATGGGAGGTAAGAGTCTAGATTGGCTTTTTTCTGTCTTGCGTTCGATGTTGTTGTCAGTTTTATGAGCAAATCCTCTGTAGTCTGTCATGGGTGGATGTGGTCAGCAGAGCTGCAGATGTAGCAAGAGAAGGATTCAATGTGTCACACAGTCTTGGTGAGTCTCCTTTTATGTATTTGCATCTTCTTTTTCCTCTTTCACCTTGTGTCAAACAGTCATTTCATCTGAGGTTAATGTGGTGATAAAATTCTTTGTCTAAAGCTGATGCAATATCGGTGATACAAGGCGAGCAGTTACTGGAGCGTTTCAGAGACCTGTTCATCCCAGACGGCCGGGCTCTGAGTCCCGGCTCATACATCAGGATGCCCGGCCTGGCAGAAGCCCTAGAGGCTGGCCTTTTAAACTTCTACAGAGGGACCTTATCAGAAGAGATGGCGAGTGAGGTAATCCAAACGGATCACATGGCCTGCCTTCATGGGAGGAGATGATGGGTCTCTCTTCCTCACAAAAGGTGCAAGCAAACGGAGGGGTTCTGAGCAGAGAAGACATCGGTAACTACAGTGTAGAGGTACAGCAACCACTGGAAGGCCGCTACAGAGGTAAAGACCTCATTTAACTACCATGCCCATTAAAGGAGTCTTTTCACAGTCTTACTGCCTTCATTTTTATTTGTTTTAGACTTTATCATTCAAGTTCCTCCTCCCCCCTCAGCTGGTGCAGCCCTGATAAGTGCTCTGAACCTCTTAGAAGGCTTCAATTTTAGCCAAAGCACTGCTACAGAAAACCAAACAAACGACTTGATTTCTGAAGTATGGAGTGTCACAGTGTACATTTAGCAGAATTCTTATTAGTGGGCTTTTTAAAGGGTGCCTTAGTGACTTTTGGTTTATTTATTTTTTCCAATGAAGGCCTTGACAGAAGCTTTAGGAATGGCCAGGGGGCTGGGTGACCCGAAGTACAACTCTTCAAAATCTGATCTTCTTTCTGTCATGCTCAGGTAACGCACACTCTGCCTTAGCTAAAGCCCAAAAGCCTTTCCCCAAACATTTTTCCCTGTACATCCAAGTTTCGTCCATATTTTTACTCTCTGCTTTGGCCACAGTAAAAACCACACCGAGCGGCTGCACGAGAGGATGAATCGCACCCAGATATCACCGCCCGAATCCACCTCTACCGCCCACCCCCTCCGGCCAGAGCTGAGGGCTGGACAAGTCGTAGTCATGGGGCCAGATAACCTCATGGTGTCTGTTGCAAGGTGTCGGTGTTTCGGCCTTCGGGCTGATGTAGATCATGTCAGCAGGATATGTGCGGTATGTGCTGCCAAGCAATGTGACATTCTCCTCTTATCTGCCGTTGCTATGATGTAGTTCCTTGAGCAGGCCGTTTGGGAGCAGGATCATAACCAAGTCAGGCATCATTCTCAACAGCCTCGTTCTTGACTTCATCAGGCCGAATAAAACCGGAGAGAAACCGCAAACTGATCAGGTGTGACACCACTCTTGATCTTGAATAATAAGTCCCCCATATATGGCTGTATGAGGGTTTTTGAAAACAATCATTTTGGTTATTATCATTTCCCTATCTTCTCAACATGTCCTCTGCAGGCAAATGTAGTTGAGCCGGGAAAGAGGCCTCTGAGTTTCCTCATGCCCGCAGTGATGATCCCGGTGTGGCAAAAATGTGGGACCTACATGGCACTGAGCAGCTCCGGTGGACAAAACCGTTTGAGATCAGTCACCCAGGTTTGATCTCCTCCAGTCATGAAGAGATTTGCAGTCAAACCTTAAAAAGAAGAATAAGAAAAAAAACCCTAACCTTCAAACTTTTTGTTTCAGATGCTCGTACGTGTGTTGTTCCATCCTAAAGAGAAGAACGACAGCCTCCCTATTCCTCCCAAAATGGAGACAAATGGACTACTTGATGACAGTAAGTACATGTGCTGGCTGACCTTTGTCTGTATTACTAAGACGTTAGTAATTTAATTTCCTCTCCCATCAGCAAAACGTGCAAATCGGAGGGTGTAGTTTTAGCAGCAAAAAAAAAAAAAAAGGCAACAAGGTTAAGTGGACTGAAGACGGCTTCTGCTGCTTTGTGGAGTCAGACGAATACCCAAAGAACAGAGGACATTCTTTTCACGTGTGGTTTGTAGTTGTTGTTTTTTGTCAGGTGAAGTGTGTACTTAAGCTACAGTTCATGTACATGTGGGCATGTTACAGAAAATGAGGGCTGTTATGTAAAGCTGATGTCAAGCCAAGATACTGTCAGCCATGCATGTTGGTGCGTCACAGGCATGTCACATGTTTTTTTACGGACAGCATTTCACTCAAAGCTATAATTGGGAAATCGTTGCTGTAAACATTCTCCTCGTCGTGTGACCCTGTTTTCTTGCAACTGCAACATTAAATAAGTTTTGGCTGTCACTTGTGTGGTTTTTAAGGTGAACAAGTCAGTGCTCTGTGGCTTTATCAAAACATGTGGGTGGAGTTTCTAGACTTATCTCCATGCTAAATCTCATGGCATAGCACTTCATGTTAGAAATAAATTATGTGAAGCTTTAACAGAAAAAAAGTCTCATACATGAAAAGACAAGCAAGCATAGGCCAAGACTATTGAAAATCTCTATTATAGAGCAAACTGATGTTATTATGAGTTATTGGAATCTAATCAACTATTCATGTTTAATCTTCTGTGCCAATAAAATGTTTGCAGGCACTTTGAAAGCACCAGTGCCTCTGAGCTCTGAGGTTTGGGATTCTGTTATAAACATCCTCTGACAAAAAGAATGATACACCAACAGCTGTTTTGTCTTTCAGTCAGAACAGCCTCCATCAGGCATTTCCTGGTTGATTGTTTAACTAACACAAAAATGATGAAGAATTATGGACTGTCTGACTTCGGTAGTTTCAGACAACTGAAATTCTAACAAAAACATTCAGATCTGAATACTACCTCCTCTAACAATTATGCTCAATCCTCTGTTGGGAGAGGCTTTGCCATTGATGCTTGTTTTTTTTTCGGATTATCCAGGAGGTCTCCTGTTTAAAAAAACTTGAGATAAATCTTTTTTTTCTTCAGTTCTATTAAATTTAGCAAGGTAATTGGCGTACTTCCAATTCAGTGGAGTGTATATTTCATAATTATAGAGCAATAATAAAGGTAAAGGTGAAGCTATGTTCCGACCCTGTGATGGGTTCAGGTGCTCTTCGTGAATTTAATCTTTTGAAGACGTCATATTTCAACAGTCGTCCATATGTGTAAAGATGATTTATCTGCTCAAACACAGGTTCAGCCAAACTTCCAAGAACTGCTGCCACACTTCTCCGTAGACCTGTGATGAAGGAATCTTATCGGTCTGCATTCAAGTGATCTCTGATACGTTACTGTGCCGGAGATCCGTCTGCAGGTAGACGGAGGTAGGATCGTTTTTTTTTTCACCCCACCTTATCGCTTGGCTTGGGGGGCGGAGCTCCGACAGGTGGGTGTCACCGGTCACATGCGGGTCAGAGATAAAGCAGAGCTGGCACACCCGCGTCCCCAGAGTGCGTCAGGTCGGAAGAGTTGCGCTTCCCGTGGAGTAACCTGTGTGAAGTCATGAAAACGAGCAGGATTTAACTGGGTTCATGAAAGCGTTTGGTAAGTGAACGGCCTCTCTCCTGATCAGCTCCAAAAGCCTTTAAGTGTTGGTTTAGAAAGGTGTAATGTTACTTTGTTTGTTTAAAGATTCTGTGTGTGCGTCTGCCATCTCAACCCACGCCCATTTTTTAAGCCACTTTCCTTCTCCCGTGATAACATTCACTGAATGTCTTCCTCTTAAACGCCGTCCCCCTGTGTATATTATTTAGTCTATTTACGATTTATTTAACATCTTTTTGTTTGACAGGCTGCGTCCCTCCATAAACTGTGCCAACCCGGTTCAACGCGCGCGTCATTGGTGGGACCCAGGGGTCCAAAAATGGAGCCCCAAACTGTTACGAGCGAGAAATTCTTCATTGTTATTCGAGGGAAGTCGCGGACGGGCTTCTGCCGCGGGTGCATCGGGCGCGTGGAGGCGGAGACGGCGCGCGGGGAGCTGGTGGGGCTCCGGTACAGCAGCGGGGCCAACGCCGGGGCCCCCAAGAGAGGGGGCGTCGTGATGAGGGAGGACACCTACCCGCTGACGCGCCACCAGGCCCAGATCCTGCTCTACGTGCCCAACGCCAGCAAGCGCCTGGAGCTGCTCTGCAACCCGCAGCTCTTCTCGGCCGTCTGCCAGCTCTCCCAGGACGACCTGGTGGTGGTGAGGCACAAGAAGGGCCACCACCCCGCCCTGGTCAAGAACCTGATGCGGATTGGGAAGAAGGAGTGCAAAGAAGATCTTCACATGATTGGCTTCGAGGTCGAGTTTGTGGTGGGTATTTATTCACGGGTGTCTAATTCTAATTGCACAAAAAAATGTGGTCATTAGTTCCTTAGTTCCTCCATTGAATCTTGATTATTTGACTAAATACTTGTCTGTTCTGCAGATCTGTGTACAGAAAAGTGTCCGATTTGCATGGCAGTAACGTTTTCTTTGATCTCGGGCTCATTTTTTAACAGGAAAACGATGACAAATCGCCATCCAGGAAACCTGCACCTCAGCCCCTCTTCAGCGCGGCAGACATCGTCCAGGTGGTCCCGTCCTACTCGGTTCCCCTGGGCCTGTACTGGAGAGACGGTAACTACGCCTTCATCTGCCCAAACACTTTTCAGTTAACAGAATCTGCAAGCTACATGAAGGAAAGGGATGTTTTGTTCAAGGAGCCCAATGAATTAGATCCTGAAAAGGCTTGATTCAACACCCGTAACTATAGAAAGAAAGTGGTCCAAACCAGTACAGAACTTGAGGAACCTGTCCTGTAGCTTTAGTAGCTGCATCACATGCTTTGGCATTTTTACACCTAGCACAATTGAAACTGATAATGTGTCTTCTTTTTGTGCAGCTGTGTGTGGGCTAGTCTGATGGGATAGCATGTGAACCGAAAAAAATGCTGAACCACCTGCCTTCCCCCATATTTCCACAGGTCTGAACAAAAAGCCAGTGACACGTGTCAATTCCATGCCAAGCTTCGGATCCTCAACCCGACAGGCCACACGCAATCATCGGGGGCAGGGTCCCGTTCACGCCCAACAGACGAGCGCGTCTCACCCCCCTCTGGAGGTGGGATCCATGGTGGAGGTGGTTTCCAGCAACGGGATCACGGTGTACGGAGTCATCCAGTGGTTGGGGATCCCAGGGGGGAAAACGGATGAATGGGTTGGGATTGAGTTGGTGAGCGAATCCCATTTCCACAGCTATGTTTAGATTCTTTTGAAAGTGATCGTACTTAGTTTATGTTTAATTGTTTTAGGATTATGACGTGAATGGCTGTTCAGATGGGGTCTATGGAAGTCAGAGGTATTTCACCTGCAAGGGGAACAGGGCGCTTTTTGTTCCCATCACAAAGTGCTTCCCCGACAGCAGGTTTGCCTTCTCGGAAAGGGAAAAACCCAAAGCCACCGAAACCCCTTCAGGTTAGACATTTTCCTCCACTTTCCTCGGTGCACGCATTGTTAACTGAAATCAAACAGTGTCCGCAATCGATATCATTGTTTAAGTTTTGTTGGAGGTCTTTTTTTTTTCTCCCTTATGAACCATTGCAAATAAAATGAAATTCACTGCACTTAAGGAAGTTTAGTAATGTAAACATTTGATATTACGGCCAGCATCGATGGAGCATTTTTCCACAGAGCTCCAGTATTTATAAAGCGGTTATTTCCTGTTGACTTTATTACTCACTGTGTGTGTCTAAGAATCATATAACCCACATGATTGACACCTGAAACCTTTAAAGTTATATATTTATTACATTTTGTTCTTTATAACAATGAACCCTTTTCACTCTTTAACTCTTGCAACCTCTTCAGATTCGGCCATAATTGATAACGCTTGTTTTTTTTGTCTCATCAGTCCCTCCTTTTGAGGAATCGGAGGAGGATACGCCGCCTGTTGCTGAATCAGAGGTGTCATCACTATTAGTGGGAAAAATGAAGGGAATACAGGGTCACATTAATTCCTGTTATCTGGACGCAACACTCTTCAGGTAGGACTGTGACGAACACTATTTTGTCATATGGACCTTGTAGAGATTGACTTTAATCTCATATTATCTGTAGAAAATTTATCATGAGAGATACCTCAAAAACATTTTTTTCCTCAGTTTGTTTAGTTCATCCGAGACTGTGGACAGGATCTGCCAGAGGCCTGCTGACGGCGAGCGTCCCCTCACCTGTGCTCTGCGAACAATAGTCCACCGTTTGCGCAGGTAGAAACACACATTTTTGTGTGCATTGTATTCTTCGAGACAAAACAAAAAAAAGTCGGTGTTGCATTGTGTGTATTTATTCCGAGTTGTCTTACTAATGACGGCTGTAATAATTGCAGACAAGGCTTCGTGCCTGCAGAGAGTGTGATGGATTTTCGCAAACAACTTGGCTGTGACACATTCAGGACTGACGAAAAAGGTACAGAACTGTGACTTGTAATGTAACATGGATTGTGCAACATCTTCATGAGGTCGACTGAAAGCATCCGTTAACAGCTGTTGTCTCCTTTTCTCACGACAGATCCAGAGGAGTTTATTACAGTCCTCTTTAAGAAAGTACTTTGCTTAGAGCCATTGCTCCAACTTAGGTAAGCCTGTTCACTTAATAGATTTCCTTTTCTTTTTTTTTAAACTGTTTTCCTGATTAACTCTATACCCATCATCTTAGATCTGAAGGAGGAGCATCTCAGGGAGCCTACACCCTCCAAATCTTTTTGGAGAAAGAGCAGATGGGACAGTTCCCCACTGTCCAGCAACTGCTGGACACATCCTGCCTGTCGGGAGACCTCAAATTTGAGATGGTGAGTCTTCATCGGAACAAGCGAGAGTCGACTTATACATTTTTGGGTTTAACATTTTTCTTTTTTACTTGTCACTCAGGAGCCGTCCTGCCTGATAGTTCAGATGCCGAGGTTTGGAAACAAGTATAAAATGTTCTCCCACATCATTCCTTCCATGGAGTTGGACATCACAGATCTAATGTACAACTGTAAGGAGCTAACATAATCAGTATTAATATAAATCAAGAATATGTGAAATGAATGCTGTGCTTTCGACAGAAAATGTCAAAGAGAACCTGATTCTTTTAACAGCGCGAAGGGAATGCTTTATCTGTGGACATTTGGCGGAGTTCGAGTGTGTGCAGTGTCTACCGGACCGAAAAATGCTTCCCGGTAGAATCAAACAGTTCTGTGCAACCTGCAACTCTCAGGTATGACTTCCGCCTCTCGGCAGAGAAATTCAACATGCCGTGTATGACTTAACCTTTTTTTTTTGTTCGTCTTTCCAGGTGCACGCCCATCCCTCGCGGAACTGCCACGCCCCCAGAGCGCTGGCGGTGCCGGCAGGTGCAGCCGCTGACGGTTCCGGTTCCGGGTCCAGGCACACCATGCAGCTATTCGCCGTGCTCTGCATTCACACCAGTCACTATGTGTCGTTTGTTAAATACGGCCCTTCGCCTCACTCCTGGCTTTTCTTCGACAGCATGGCAGACCGATGTGGTAAGAAAAAAATCTCTCCTATGAGAAAAATGTATCGGATTTTATGAGGGGCGGACAACTGAAATGAATTACCCGATTAAAGACATTCGGGGCATATTTATTTTCCGTGCAAACGCTGGTGTAACTGGTTCCAGGGACTGGTTTGTGTTTTGATAATCAGCCTGGACAGCCATAGATAAAGGCACGTGTTGAGAGCAACTCTGACGTCTTACAATTGGCTCTTATCTCCTCTATGAACTGATTTCTAATCTTAAGGTCACTCTTCCCTTACAGGTGATGACCAAAGTGGCTACAACATTCCAGAGATCCGTGCATGCCCTGAGATTGGTGACTATCTGAGCCAACCTGAGGAGGAACTGGCCCGTTTTAACCCTTCTCAGGCTCCCGAATTGGTGCGGAGACTTCTGTGTGACTCGTACATGTTTTTATACCAGAACCCAGCAACAGCGCTTTCAAAGCCAAACAACGGAGAGCCCTAAACACATTTGAGGACGAGGACACTGCGTTCCATAATAGTGGAACACTATGTTACAACCTTACATCTCTGCTTAATAGACTTGAATGCACTTTATTGCGTCCGGACAGCAGGAACTGAAATGGATGCTCGGAACTTTATTCTTAAAAAAATATGTCCAAAAAGATCTACATTATTGTTCAGCAATATTATTTTTGATTGTTCATATTCACAGGTGACATTGCCCTGTAAGGAAGAGAGAGGCTAGCAATGAAAGGTTGCACTATAATGAACCTTTTTCAGTCTATACCACGCGGATGCCTTACAGTGGTTGTTATTAAGTGAAAGTGTGGCATATCATTTAAAAAAAAAAAAAAAAGTTTTTCTGCTTTTTAAAATAGTTTTTTTATGAGCCTGTCCTTTGGCAAACTAAAGTTAGGTCCACTGAAACACTGATGACATGTGTGGCGGATGTTGCGTAATGTTAGCTTTGGATTGTTACAAGTGTACGCCAACCTAGCCACCACTGGCATGCCTCTGTTATTGTTAACAGAAGTCTCAAGACAGGAAATGGTGTAAATGTCCACGAATGGTTTTATTATTTACTGTAATTAATTGCACTATGTGTTGTTTTTACCACTAAAGATGACTGGTTATAAAGTAATTTGAATAAAATTACAATCACTGCAACTGGAAAAATCGTTTAATTGACTCTTGGGCATTTTTAATACAGAATTAAAACATAAATAATGTCTACCTTAAAACCTACCTTGTTTTTTTTTTTTTTAACCACTACATTTTTGGTAGATTAGAATAATACATTTGAAACTTTTTAACTGTTTTTTTATTTATTTATATATTTCATTGGACATATAATCAGAATTTAGAGGAACGTTTTGGGTTGTTGAAAAAGTTGTTGGGTAAATATATATTCCTATACCTACTTGTGGAAAAAACGGTGATGGCACTATCATATGCATACTTATCCATACTGATCCCCTATTTGTGGATGCCTTGTCAAGAAAGGTTGAAATAGCTGCAGCGATTTACTAGTTATTTTTGTTTGATTTTTGTAATACAGAGATAACTGGAAATGCAATTCAAAAAGATGCATATTGCACAACAATTCTAACAAGATTGAAAGGCAGTAAGACTGACGATCACCTTTTATTCTCCAACACAATCTGAATTTTCTTAAAGAAGCTTTATTTTAGTTATCAAACTCTCCATATTTTCCTGAAGGACGTCCCTTTAAACTGTCCACAGTGCACTGCTCTACTTTTATGGGCTTGACATGTAATTTGCCTTCTTGTAAGCTTTTATCTTTTTTTTCATAGACACAATTGCTGTGTTGGTGCAAAATTGAAATTGTATATCTGGGACGTTTTATTATCTTAGGCATTTAAATAAATAGGATTTAATGACACTATCAAAAAACTATTCAAAATCGTGTTGTGTTAAGTAATTGTCAAGTGTTAATTAGAAATGTTCGGAGAAAGACTGTTCCCAAAATATTCATTTTTAATCAATTAATAATTTGATCAAATTAAATCAAAAGTACTGTTAAACTAAAGTAATGTTTAGTTGTTTCTGTATTTATTCCATGTGTCCAGACAATAATTACGGTACTCTTCGTCAGTTACCACAAGTGGAAAGATTTCTCCAGCTTTATGAAATGTAAATACTCATATCCCAAATTATGGCAATTCCAAAGTCACTTTATGATGGAAAAACGAAAATATTATCTTTAGAATAACAACTCAAATCCAACTCTTTAATTTCAGCCCACACTTAAAGGCTGACTTCATACTTTGGCTTTTTGTTGGGTGAAAGGCCTGTCGGGTGTCAAGGCTGTCGAGGTAGGATAAGCTCACATCTGTTATATTTCTTCCAAAAAGAGACATGAGCGCCATCCAGTTGTCTGCCGTATAAACGTATTTCTAAACAAAACAGCCAGCAGGTGAGTCCGATGACAACATAAGTGTTTTTTTTGTTTTGGATTTGTACGACAATTCGCATAACGTTATATGGATGTGATATAAATGAAAAGGGGTACCAGTCCATTAAGTTATACCTCGTGTCCAGTACGAAAAGCATAACCGACGGCAGTGGAGTTCATGTGATTTAGGGTTTTCGTGCGTGTGAACCAGCATGGAGCCGAAGAGCAACACGTTTTCCGAAGAGGAGGAGCAACATTGCTTCCATTTAAATGGTACACATGCGCAGTAGCGTGCATTTGGGACTTTATCTCTTACACAATCCTGTCTTTTCTTCATTCTGCCTTCATCTCCTCGCCGGTGTGTGCACACCTAAAGCGCTTCTTGTTTTTAATATTTCTGTCCAGTACGGCTAAAGAAATGAGTGGGGACCACTCCCACAACGAGGACCAGGTAGCTGTTACACGTTTATTATACAATGCCATCGCTGGCGATCATCGTGGATAGTTTCTTGCTACCGTGTGTTTGCTCGTTTTGACAGGGTAACTCGGCTAACCGTGAACCACTTAGCACGTTAGCCCGCTGTATAAGTTAACAACATCATTACGTTGTTAAGAGTCTTGACAAGTTTTTTATAACACTATTATAGGGACGTGAAGACGCCTTTGAGATTAAGGTAGAATACAAAGATGGGTGAGGTAGTGGCGCATTCATTTTTTAGGTTAGCTCAAAGCAGTGTTAGCCGGAGTGGCTTCTGAGATAGCCGCGAAGCTATATTACTAGCCAGCGTAGCGGGCTAGCTGAGCTAACGGGTTAGCTAACAAACTGTCGGTCTGCCATTCAGCAAGTTCAAAGTTAGGTAGCCGGCTAGTTAGCCAAGATGCTACGAAATTTAACATTGATCTGTTTTTGATTTTCTAGATTGACTGCGGCTCTCGGGTCAATGGTAAGTTGATCACATTTGGCTACAAAATGAGAACATAAATTTAGCCTTGACTGTGATATGCTGTAGCTTATTTCATGTAACGTTACGTTAGTTCTCAGTAGAGGACAGAAATGGCGTCCAGAGACTAAGTCCTCTGTCTCACTCACAAGCGCCTATTGTTCAAAAGCAAGGCCTTGTAAAAGCATTTCCGTTTATTATTTTCCCGATCGGAATTAATATTGGCACACAACTCGATGTGTTTTATCAGTTGATCGTAATAGAAGTTGTTGTTGGTTAGCTTTTAATGGCACATTTTCCAGCTGAAAGTGAGGGTTTGGGGGTTGAGGACTTAGTCTCTGCGCCATTTTCTTTTTCGGTGTAGCGGCCTGACTACACTACAAGCTGAAACCAGGCTGTGAAGTGCAGATAGCAGAGTGTGGAGGGCTTGGTGCTGAAGGGTGATTGAAAAAAATACTGTAGCTTTGCAAAGCGTTCGATCTTATTCAACTGATTGATTGTTTTAGCCTCAGGAAAACTGTCATTTGCTTAGTTTATAAGTGCTGATAAATGAGGAAATGCTATAGAACTCAAACGAGCTTTATAGTTTTGGGGACATTTTAATAGCAAAACTTAAACAAAACATAGATAAACAAGGACTAATTTCAAAGTTCTGTTATAGTGCTGGGGGAAAAAAACAGTTTCTAGAGCTTAAAGTGTTTTTATGATTGTAGTTGTGTGGCATATTGATATGCTCTGAAAGGGGATCTGGCTAAGTTACAAATGAGCTGTTAATTGGAATTCATTCCACAGCAAATTATATGCATTTGGCAGGTCTTTCAATTATTATTATTTTTTATAGCCTCATTCTAAGTATTGAATACACAGTATGATGGTGCTGTCTGGAAAAAGTGACTTTTCCTGACATCTTTTTAAGCTTTTATTACCTCTGCAGTCTTTGTCCTGTGCATGCTAGAGGAAGATGAACAACTTTTTGGTACAGTTGTCTGGTATCAGAATGAGTTGTGTTTGTGCCTGTGATTCTGGCTTTTAGGGCATTCAAACCTATGCATTTCATACTGTTGATAGCAGTCTGGGGGTGTTGGCTCTTTAATTTTGAGAATTGTATCCTTGCATACACTTAGGTGAATCTCCGCACCTTACAGGACTCTCAGTAAAAATGAGTGAAAGCTTATATTGTTCACAAACATGCTTGAACCTGTCAGTTGATCCATATCTGAAAAACCCCAGACACAGACAGGCAGTAGGTGCTCTGCTACTGTGTAATAAATGTGCCGTTCCAACGCTGTTCATATTGTGGTGCATAAAGCAAACTGTGCATATGAAAGTTGAGAGTTTAATTAGTTATTTTCAGGATACGCTTTAAATTTAGAACTGTTGATTCTGTTAACACTCAAATGTTCACGAGCAACTTTGCACTAGTGACAGAATACGCTGATTTCAAAGACGGCACCACATTTCAGCGCCTTTTCACATCGAGACGCCAAACAGTGGTCCTGACAGATTGTTAGTATTTCTTGTGGTGTTGCAGTGCCCATGATCAGAAATGTTAAATATCGATCACTAACGTCTCAAATATGAGTCAGAACCGCCAGCTGCCGCTCCATTTGTCTCAACTTGGTGCATTTGTTAAATTCAAATTTATAAGAAGAGTGTTTTGAAGGATGTCAGTTGTTTCATTTTCCTCTACTCTCTGTTAGTTGAAGGGAGTTTACTGACCATACACTCCTGTATACTTCTATCAGTTAATGGCTCCCTGTGTGTTAAACGGTTTGACACGTTGTGCAGCCCCTCTTGGTGCCTGTTAACTCTTAAGGGAAACACTTTTCTTTTTCTAGACTCCCATAAGCATAAAGACAAGTACAAAGAGAAGGAGCATAAACATAAGGACCACAAGAAGGACAAGGAGCGGGAGAAATCTAAGTATGGCAACAGGTATGTCTGTCTCCATAAACCACAAGTCCATGCTTTCATGAATGTGTTAATAGTCGGAAGAGTGCGTTTAAAGAATAACTGTTCACACATTTCTCAAACACTAGCGACCTTAAGGACCCCTCTGATAAAAAACACAGGGACAAGGAGAAGATGAAGCACAAAGATGGTAGCACAGACAAATACAAAGACAAGCACAAGGAGAAGAGGAAAGATGAGAAGGTAAACGATTGAGTAGAGATCCACAGGAGAACGTTTGTCTGTGTGCTGATAGTTTAAATTCCCTGATGTGAGTTTATCATAGTGAAGTCATGTTTCTGACATGGAGGCTTTTAGAAACCACAACCATTTTACTCCCTTTCAGGTGTGATGTTTGTTTTTTAAATGTATTTCATTCACATTTTTAATGGTTCAAGTAAAATGGGCAAGAAACCTCCCAGTGCCTGTGGTTTATCCAGCTGCTATTATTTTGTATGCTATGAAGTTGTAAAGTGGGGAATGTGGACTGAAGTGTAAAAGTGCTTTGTGCTGTCACATTGAAGAGAAAAAAGGTTTTTAAGTCCATCCATCAAATAAAAGGCAGGCCAAATATGTCCTACAATATTTGGGTGTTTAGATATTTTCCATCTGTCTTTCAGAACCGGCACATTCCGTGTTGTATGCACAGAAGGCTTGTGTATATATTCAGTGTCATGTTTTAAAGCCGTTTGAACACATTTTTACTTAAGGCTTCTAACTAAATTCGGCTTCTTTCCAGATGAAGTCCATCGACGGCAAAATCAAAAAGGAAAAAGAGAATGGCTTTGCCAGGTATGTCAAAGATTGTGCTATCAACTCGGATGGTTTTTGATTAGAAAAAGTGTTTATTTTAAGTTTGGGTTTGTTGTTCAGCCCCCCACATATGAAGACTGAGCCTGAGGACGATTTTTACCACTCTCCTAAACACAAGGAGTCTTTAAAGAGAGAGCGAGATGATGATTATGAGTAAGTCCAACTGAATTCTCACAGTCATTGGTGTTTCATCTGATCTGCCTTTAACACCAGGTGCTTTGTTTTCAGTTCTGAATTCAAGCCTAAGAAAATAAAGACTGAAAATGACAAGAAGGCCAAGAAAAGGAAACAGGAGGATGATGTAAGCAAAAGCTTTGAGCTAAATTCTGGGCAGAGCCAGAGTTTCACTATAACAGTAACCATCAGCCGTGGACGTGGAATAACATTAATACTTTCCCTTCCTTATTTTTAGGACGTCAAGTCCAAAAAAACAAAAAACAAAAAAGGAGAAGTGACTGATGGAAAAAAGAAAGCAAAGAAAGAACCAGAAGAGAAGTGGAAATGGTGAGTGTGGCATCTTAATGCCGATCAGCAGGTGTGGATGTTTTGCCGTGTTGTGGTTTTATAACTTCTTTCTTATTTCAATTTGGCGTAGCCACATTTAATTAAGTGACTTGGTTGACCACAGGTGGGAAGAGGAGAGATACACAGACGGTGTCAAGTGGAAGTTCCTTGAACACAAAGGGCCTGTGTTTGCTCCACCCTACGAGCCCATTCCTAGCAATGTAAAATTTTATTATGATGGTAAGACTGTTTTGCACAAGATCTCACATGGGGTCCAGTGGTTGCTGAGAGTATTTTTTTTAATCCACTTTTTTTCTTTTCCTTTTTTTTGTTCTGCACATGCATCCCAGGTAAACAAATGAGGCTCAGCCCAGAGGCAGAAGAGGTAGCCGGGTTCTTTGCCAAAATGCTGGACCACGAGTACACCACAAAGGACATCTTCCGTAAGAACTTCTTCAAAGACTGGAGAAAGGTGGGCAGGCGCGTTCCCGTGCGTATAACGGGATGCTCTGGTAGTGCTGTGTCTGACTGTGCCGCATGCTCCCCACGCAGGAGATGACGTCCGAGGAAAAGGCGAAGATCACAGACCTGAAGAAATGCAACTTCACTGAGATGAGCGAGTACTTTAAAGCGCAGTCTGAAGCCAGGAAAGCCATGTCAAAAGAGGAGAAACAGGTCAGCTACCATGAGTGGGAGGGCCTAGTATTTAAACTTTATCTTTTTCTAAAAGAAAAGTATAAAACATGCCTAATCATTCTGATTTTAATGGCTTTGAAACAAACTTATTTTAAGTGACACTAGTCAAGATGTTCTCTCCCCAGTAAGTAATGTCCTTTTTTTTTTTCTCTTCAACTTTTTCTAGAAAATAAAGGAAGAGAACGAGCGCATCTTGCAGGAGTACGGCTTCTGCATCATGGACAACCACCGAGAGCGCATCGCCAACTTCCGCATCGAGCCCCCCGGCCTCTTCCGTGGCCGTGGAGACCATCCAAAGATGGGCATGCTGAAGCGCCGCATCAGGCCCCAAGACATCATCATCAACTGCAGCAAGTACGCGGCGTGCACTTCTTTACTTATGCCTGTCCCAGCTCTGAGCCCACACATTTTCCAGTGTTGGGGACTTCATTTTTCTGCTTTGTTTAGGGACTCCAAGTACCCCCAGGCTCCCCCAGGCACCAAATGGAAAGAAGTTCGCCACGATAACAAAGTGACTTGGCTGGTTTCATGGACTGAAAACATCCAAGGCTCCATCAAATACATAATGCTGAACCCCAGCTCTAGAATCAAGGTATGGCGGTTGGCTGTCTCCGCGTGCGGCCTCAGTGTGTCGCTGTGACAAAGTCACCTTCACACGAAGCCCGCCTCACTGGGCCGCGTTTTTGCGTGACACGCTGTGGTCCGTCCGCAGGGAGAGAAGGACTGGCAGAAGTACGAAACGGCCCGGCGGCTGAAGAAGTGCGTGGACCGGATCAGAAATCAGTACCGGGAAGACTGGAAGTCCAAGGAGATGAGGATCAGACAGAGGGCCGTGGCTCTCTATTTCATCGACAAGGTGAACACATTAGTCCGAGTGTGCAGTTTCTTTTAGGGACTGAAATGCTGCGTAATATCTTCATAAGCGGCCTATAATCCAAATCCTCTGGCTCGCAGCTGGCCCTGAGGGCCGGTAACGAGAAGGAGGAGGGAGAGACGGCGGACACGGTGGGCTGCTGCTCGCTGCGAGTGGAGCACATCAAGCTGCACCCGGAAAGCGAAGGCCAGGAGTTCGTGGTGGAGTTCGACTTCCTGGGTAAAGACTCGATCCGCTACTACAACAGAGTCCCCGTGGAGAAGAGGGTGAGGCCCGCGATCTGACCGCAGCAGCGTCCGGTATAGCATCAGTTACATCTCCTTCACCAGCCGCCTTCTTTTCCAGGTGTTTAAGAATCTTCAGCTGTTCATGGAGAACAAAGAACCTGACGATGACCTGTTTGACCGCCTGAATGTAAGCAGACAGGATTCTTTTCCGCCTGGAGTTGCATAGATGGAGGTTTTTTAAATGAAAGCAAGTTTCCCTGCAATTGTTTTTTTTGTAGACTTCTATTCTGAACAAGCACCTCCAGGAGCTGATGGACGGCCTCACAGCCAAAGTTTTCCGTACATACAACGCCTCAATCACCCTGCAGCAGCAGTTAAAGGAGCTCACCAATGGTATGTCTGCAGAGATCCAACCGTTTTGCGGCGTAACGGGAGCAGGCGTCCAAAGCCTGGATGATTTCTTGTTTTGTTTTTTAAATAGAAAAGAAAAACAATTGTGTGGGAATTGATTTGGAACTCCTGGACAAACTCTTTTCCATGACTTTTTTTTTGTCTTGACCGGCTCATAACTTTCTATTCCTTCTCTGTAGCGGATGAGAACATTCCAGCCAAGATCTTGTCCTACAACAGGGCCAACAGAGCTGTGGCTATCCTGTGTAACCATCAGAGGGCTCCACCCAAGACTTTTGAGAAGTCTATGCAGAACCTGCAGACTAAGGTAAAAATGTGGTGTTGTTTTTTTAAAATTAGTTTAGCATTATTTTGCACATTTATTTTTTTCACTGCCTTCTTTAGCTCATAGCTCCATCATTATTAAATACATTGAATAGCAGTTATTTGAGTCTGGTGATGCCAGATGAGTCTTTTTCTTTTCTTTTTCTTTTTTTAAACTAACAAAACAATTAAAAAAAAATGTTGAGTTTAATCTTGAAAATCTACCACTGTTTTCCACTTCAGCTTTAAAGGCTGTGGGTGGAATTCAGCTCTAAGGGTTTAGTTAATTCAGTTCATTAAAAAAAAAAAAAAAATCACATTGATTTAATGACTTGCTAAAAATGTAACTCGCTAAGTGTCTCAAATTAAAGCGAGCCACACTTTTCGCAAACCTAATTTCCAGAAGAAATGTCAGTCTAACATGGTGGACCTGGTCTCACTTTTCTTTTTCTTTTTGTCAGATCGATGCTAAAAAGGACCAGCTTTCCGACGCCAAGAGAGAGCTGAAGAGCGCCAAGGCCGACGCCAAAGTACGGAGGGATGAAAAGTCCAAAAAGTAAGAATTTGATAGTGAGAATCCCCCCCCCATATTGTTATCCCTATTCAGCACAACTTTATCTAACTGTTGTTTCTCCCCTCAGGGCTGTGGAGAGCAAGAGGAAGGCTGTTCAGAGGATAGAGGAGCAGCTGATGAAACTGGAAGTCCAGGCCACCGATCGTGAAGAGAACAAACAGATTGCCCTCGGCACTTCCAAACTCAATTATCTGGACCCACGCATTTCTGTGGCCTGGTAAGTGTGTGTGTGTGTGTTCCTTTTTTTTAAGTTTATTTATTTAAAGTGTCTGAGTTGGACTCGGAGCCAATTGGATCTCTCAATGAGGTACATTGTCCTCCTCCCATTGAATGTCTCCGTCCCTCTAGGTGTAAGAAGTGGGGTATTCCCGTTGAGAAGATCTACAACAAAACCCAGCGTGAAAAGTTTGCCTGGGCCATTGACATGGCAGAGGATGACTACGAATTTTAAATCCCATTTTATCTCACCTATGATGAACTTTTTTTATTGGATAATTGTTTTTGTTTTTTTGTTTTTGTTTTTTAAGCTTACATGAATTTTGCTCGATGGCCAGACCCAACAAGGAATTCTAAAAAATGTGCGCGGGGGAGAGAAAAAGAAACGGACGTGTTTAAAAAGAGACGAGCTGTGGATAGCACGAACATCTGATCCAAGATCAGGTTTCCAGACAAAGTATATCCATAGCCACAAGTCAAGGCATAGTCCCTGTAATTTGAAGACTCCTTGACCTTTTTGTCTCAGTCCCTTCTCGGGGACGAGACCCAACATCGCCTGAGCTCCAAACTGTGGTCCGATAGCTCCTTTTATCAAGAAAAAGAAAAACCGAAAAAATGCTTTGTATCATTGTAGTTTTTGTTCACTCACTCTGTATTTTAGCCCTCCCATGTATTATTAATGAATTCTATATTTTGATAGACAAAAGTAAAATCAGAAGAATTCCTTAACTACACCCACGCGCCTTTCAAGGAAACGGAAATGTTGTGTGTTTGTGTGTGTGTGTGCGTGCGTGTCAGAGGCTCGACCATGGAAGCTCGTCTGAATATTTTAAACTGGACTCTGTCGATTTGGTGAGCATGAAAGAGGATGTCTGAGCAGGCAAAGGGGAAAATACTGCAACAATGTCAATATTTACTTAAGCAAGCAGAATGTGAATATTTTGTTTTACAGCCTCTATCAGGGATGTCTTTTGTTTTCACTTTTTTTTTTTTTCAGTGTAAATGTGAACCAATCATTTCTTTTTCTTTTTTATCCTTTGAGTTGCAAGCACCCTTTTAATCTATCAGCATAGCCCTCTGCATCTGATTTTAAGGTAATTTAACAATTTGTTAGAGGAAAAAATGAAACTCCCATATCTGTTACTTGAACATAATGCTATCATAATGTATTTAAAGTCAGTGAGTGGAAAGTGTTTTGCCCCCTTGTGGGGTGTGTGAGGGATATCAACTTTGCCAAAAATTTTAAAAAATCACCAAACTGTTACAGCGTAGACTGGTTTTAATTGTGTAATGATTGAGGATAATGTAACATTTAATGTGAATTATCAGTTCATTTTATTCCACTCTGTTTCACTTAAAATAGGAAAGTTGATGTAAAGTAGCCGTGAACTCAACGTCCTATTCCTGTTTTACCTTTTATTGTCATAGCCTTTGATCATGTTTGAGTTGAAAGCTCATTGTAGGTTGGAAAAATGAATAAATCCCTACAGGAAAAGTCGGTGTGATCATCTTGTTCTTTCACTGAATTCATGTAAGTTTGGGACCTTGAGTATTTTTGGTTGTTTCTTTCTTTCGCTCACCCTGCCTGCAGGCCCCCCCCAAACCCCCCCCTCGGCAGTACAGCTGCCTGTTAGGTCTTTGGACAAAAAGCTGGAGGTTTTGCCATTCAGGAATTAATTCACCGAGATGGCCTTGGTCTATTTTGAATTTATTATTTTTTCAATAAATATCTACCGGGCCATTAGATAACGGTTTTAAGAAGGAAACATTTCCATAAATCTAATCCTTTGAAGTGGTCAGCCCCTTAATCTTCAGTCAGACCAGAGGCTGACCGACCTGATCACCGGTCATCCGTAAACCTGGAGACGCCGTTTGGAACGGAACGCTCTGTAGTTTGCCCACAGCGCCCATCCTTTCAATCTCCCATCTGCATTTTTGTCTGCACAGTTAGCGCTTTACTGTCAACAAAAGGAAGGTTACTCCACGCTTGCAACGTTCATCTGCCATGGAAACAAGACTTAAAAAAAAAAAGAAGTACGCTCTGTAACGCCAGCGGTGCACCAGCAGATGGGACTGTTTGCTTTTCTCCACCCAGAAGAGAATTTCTTGTTGCCTCTAATGGCCTCACAGGATAATTTCCCTTGTTATTGGACAGAATAAATGAACAGAGAACACACTTAGACTGCTGCTCGGTGAGTATTCGGTTTATTCTGTAAAGATTCAGAAGTGTAGAAAGGATGATACAACAGTGCTTTATGATCAGACTATTTCATAAAAGTTTTTAAGTGATCATTAACACCGTAAGTCCAGATTCCATATACCTCAAACCAAAATAAATTTGTAACATTCGACACAAGTGCATACACTGCTGGTAGGAGATCGAGCTCCAATATCACTTTGGATGGTATAGCACCGTTCTTAGCTATTAGCAGCTTGACAAAGATGCAGCTTAGTAGGATTCATGTAGTGACTGTATGTTCATACAAACACAAGAAAATTCAGAGGAGAGGAAACGTCTCCTCATTTGGCTCTCTAGCTAGCACAACATCTCACTCTGTCAGTGTCTAGGGATCAAATTGATAATTTCGCTCTTAACATTTTTTGCCAATAACTATATTTGATACAATTACAGCTTAAAGTTAAACATCTCCAAGTGTACAGAAAGCAGCACAAGATTTTTTTTTTTTGTTTTGTTTCACAGATATAGACCAACAGTGACCATCAATGCACTGGCATGTATTATTATTATTATCTTTTTTTTTCTCGATACTTTCACACAGTAGCTGGAAAGCGAGGTGACGGACAGATGGGTCATAGAAACACACGGACAGAGCTGAGTAAGGCAACGTTAGCGTGACAGGCTTCTCTCTGTTCTGTTTGCAGGGCAGTGTAGTGTATTGATCCTGACGGAGCGGTCAATACTTGTACTGTGAAGCAGGGGTGATTTTTAGCATTGCTGTCTTCATTAGTGCATTGTATATAGTCTCTTGCGTGTAGCTGAACTGCAAAAGTGATCACCAACATCAATACACATCTAAATAAAACGTGTTTGATTGCATCTGGACTTACAGTGAATACAGAAGAGTAGATAGATTGAAAAACCAAATAACGGAAAAAAGTCAAATTCAAGGCAGTGCTGAAGTACTGGTTGCTAAAAAAAAAAAAAAAAAGTAAAAAATATCACAAAGCCAACAACATTTCCTCGACACATCTTTTTGTTTGTCCAGTCGGCACAAACCATCTTTTATAGTGCAGTTTCAATCATTTATATATATATTTTTATATATATATATATATGTATGTCTCCCTACGGCCCAAAAACAAAATCTCCCGGCCCTGTCCTACCCTATCTTCGCTCATTCAAGTCAGTTTTCCAGTCAGTGTGCGTCTTTTCTGTCTTTTCTTTGATCCCTCGTACTGACCTCGATGTGCACCCTCCCCACACGACCACAAAGAAGCATGAAAGGCTTAAACATCACAGGACTCAAAGGTGAGAAGTTCTTTCTTTTGACGATGGCAGGAAGTGATGACAGATGGAAGAAGAAGAGGGGGTGGGGGGTATTCACAGTTACAGTCAGAGTCCAGCGGTCCAGCTACAATCACATCTGCTGTCATTATGAACACACTTTTTTTTTTTTTTGTTTAAGGATGGCCAGCAGGGTGAGCCAGCCTTTTTTTTTGTATTTTTCTTTTTTTAAAACATCACGTTCCTCTGACGAGAGCGGGCCTGCTTCATCACACCTCCAGCAGCTCCATCCTCAAGCGATCCCTGTGACAGGTAAACATCACACACGGGCACAGTGAGAAAAGAAATGTACTTTTTTGGGGGTTTTTTGGAGTTACCGTGATGGGGGAAAAACAGTGGTTGTGTATATGTTAACATGCCTTTCGGAAATCCATCTCACCGAACACAATTGAAATGATTTATTCACATATATTAGCATGCGCCCTCGATCTATAATTCAGTGGCTCAGACTCCTGCTTGCCTAAAAATAGCTTCTTAAACACAGACCTTTGATTGCCAGAATAAGCTACTCAACACAAGTACCTGCACACACCTCTCCAGTTCCCTTTCTACTGTACATCACGCAGCAGGCACTACAAACAAGGAGCTGTCATGCTTTTATCTCTGCGCTTGGCTTACACTGTTTGCTCTCCCGATTTAAAAAAAAATACAGCACAGGGCTCGTACAAAAAAAAGGACAGAAAAGCTCAGTGTCCGTTAGACCGTAAATGGGTCGCCGGGGGTCAAGTACCTGGCCTGATTGGCGTCGGCCTGCGTCTCCATGAGCGTCGGGCTTGCGTCCGGCTGCTGGCACTCTGCTCTCTCTGACCAGGGGTGGTGCAGGACTCCCAGCTGCACGGGCTCCTCGGCGCGCCGGCACTCGCCGTTGCCCCCGGCGCCGCCGTTGCCGCCGGCCTTCGACTCGGCCAGAGCCAGCAGCGGAGGGTATGGATCCTGCCACGCCGCCCGCTGCTGACCCGTGCTGGACTCATCGGCGTCCGGCTCGGCGGGTTTCTTAGACGGCTCTCTCGGCGGATCGGCCTCCGGGTCCCCGCCGGCCCCGGGCTCTTCTGGCGCCCGCCGGTAAGTCTCTAACCACTTCAGCTGGCCGTTCTTGTGGCTGTAGCGGCTGTCGCTGAACCAGCGCACCACCTCGGGCTTGGGCAGGCCCGTCTGGACGCTCAGCTCCTCGTACTGCTGGCTGCTGGGCCAGCGGGCGCTGGAGAAGGCCTGCCGGAGGACGTGCAGCTGCTGGGGGGTTTTGGCGCCCCAGGGGGGTGAGAAGGAGGGGGGATGGTCCACCTCGGGCTTGTGTTCCGGACGCGGGGTATCGGAGGCCGTCTCGGGCTCGCTCATCTTCAGCCTCTTGAAGTTGATCTTTATGGGGTCCAGCTTGAGCTCCGGGCAGCCCCCGTCCCCGACAAAGGGGTCCTCCTCTTTGATGAGCTGCTGTAGGATGGACATGCCTTTGATGGGATAGTCTTTACTGCATTTGCCCTCCTCCTTGACGGACGAGCTGCCTTTAGCGATGACGGTGGTGCTGGTGCTTTCAGGGGAGGGGTTGCTGGCATGATTCTGGTTGGGAACGCTGTCGTTACCGGGCTGCTGGCCGCTAATACTGCCGTCGCTGGGGTCGGGCCTCTCGGCCTGGCTGGGCTCCGTTGGGCTGTCGCTGTCGTGATCGTTCCAGGTGATTGCTGATTTGCTGGTGCTTGGGCATTCGCCGACCGCCCGACTTGCCATACCCTCCGAACCCTCCGATCCCTCCAATCCGGTTGGTAAACTGTTGCTTCCGTCGTCGGCCTGGCGGTCGGGGTCGACCTCGCGGTGCCCGTCGTTATTGCTGATGTCGGCGGGGCCAGCGGCGGCGCTGTGGACCGGACTGCCGTTGGGCGCCGGCTTCCGGTGGGGTGCCTCGAAGCTGTTGCTGCTGGCGGAATAGCTGCTAATGCTGCTGCTGCTACTGCAGCTGCTGCTGCTACTGCAGCTGCGGCCGCTGCTGCTGCTGCTACCGACGCAGCCGCCGCCCGCCGCCGCGTCCAGGCCGTTGCCGTTGCCGTTGCTCTTGTCCGGCTCCACAGTGGATTCGGCGATCTTCGCCGGTACCGGTGTCGTCCTGGCAGCAGACGGGAACTTTGGGGGGCCGATCGGAGTCGAGTACGAGACCCTGGTGACGTGGGGATTGGTGGACATGCTGGCCTGCGTGGCTATTGCCCCAACAGGCCTCGGTTTCATACTGCCATACGGAACTTTGGCCATTTGAAAGTTTGGTCCTTTGGAGCCCGGGTGAGCGTTGATGGTGTGGTGGGTGACGATGTGGTTGACTTGCCGTGGTGTCGTGGGTTGCTTTTGGGGTTCTCCACCCTGAAAAACGGTGTTGAACATTTTCCTCCTGGCCTCTTCGATCTCTTCCGGAGACCAGCTAATGCCCTGCTTCAGCCTTTGGGCGGTAAACCAGAGTTTGATCTGCTCTTCGGGGAACTCGGAAACTACCGTCAGGTAGCAGAGCTCGGCTTTGGTCGGGTAGGGGAACTTGCCAAAGGATGTCTTAAGAAAGCTGCTGGTGTCCATGGCGGCATCGTAGGTGGGGATGCTGCTGAGAGGGATCATCACTTTTGGAAGATCTTTGTTGGAGTCCGAAGAGTTGGGGGAGAAAAGGGAAGGAGTGTGCTGGTGAAAGACTTGGTTGGACGTGATCACGTGAGTGACCGCCGTCCTCGGCATAGCTGGGGCGCCAGAAACGCTGAGAGCCCCGTTTAGGAGTTCAGGCACATTAGTCAGCATGTTGGGGTACACGTCCTTTCCATTGTCTATCTTCCGTACCTCCACAGTGTGAGAAACCACTATCTTTTTGTGCTCCCCCTTGGCTTTCATCATCTTTGCGATAGGTGTTTTAGTGAGGGAGATCCCGGATTCTCGGCAGTCTTCTCCGCCGTCCGCAAAGAGGCTTTGCTCCACGGTCGTCACTCCGTCTCGCCGGTTGACGCTCAGAGAGGCGGTAACCAGACCCTCCATTATCTTGGGGTGGGTGTTGGCATTGTGCAGCGCCAGAGCCTCGAAGCGGACGACCGACACCCCACAGTTCAGGCAGTAGAAGGTGGGCTGGGCCCTGAAGTCTAAGTGGCTGTTGTGCATGTGATCCAGAAAGTAGTTGAGATCTCTGGACTCGAAGCGGCAGGTCAGGCAGCTGTACGTTCCTCCTTTCTGCGTCTCGCTGCCGCCTTCGCATTTGGAGGAGCCGTGCGAGAAATGGCCGGACTCCTCTCCGGAGATGCTGAGTATGCTGTCCTCTGGGATGGTCGGTAGGAGCTCTGGCAGCGAGCCCAGTATGATTTCCTCACGCACATGTTTGGACTTGGATGGTATCATGCAGGGCACAGTGGATTTCCTTTTGCTGGCCATGGTGCAGCTGTGTGTAAATGATGCAGCGAGCGCTCGGTCCGGGGTGATGAGAACGGAGGGCGGGTGGATAGTGGAGAGGGTTGAATGGAGTTTAGTGTCATGGACCAGCCACTATGACATCACAGTGTTGCTTCATGCCTTCTTCCACGTCGGGACTCCTGTCACATGGACAAGTTTAACGGCTCCTGGGAAACCTGGGGGGACAGAGAGCAAAAAAAAAGACACACGTGGCTCGATTAGGATACTTTCAATGCAGAAGAAACTCAGTAAAAAGAAAGAAATCAGGAGAATAATGGAAGAAAAGGAAATTTGATCATTCTACCTGAACAATGAGCCTGACACACTTTATACAAACACTAGATGAACACTGCGTTTTTTCTCATAAAAAGTATGAAATATTCATTCAAAATATACTGGGGAGAGCAGAATGCAGAAGTGTGTGCCTCAGCAGAGGGCTTATATGTGGGTGACAATATAGCGTGAAAAGAGTTGGAGGTAGCAGTAATTAAGGCAACATTAACAAATGTCTTGAATTTATTCAAAAAAGGGACACATGGTGTGATTGTACAGACGGAGATCATGTGAACCTCCATCTACAGACATTTTTTTTTAAAGGCACTGAGATTTGTACAGGTTCATATGCTGAAATGACTTTCCTAAATACAGCAAAACTATTTACCATAAAAGATATCGAGGGAATCTAAACAGGAAAAGGCTTTCCCGAAATGAAAATAATTCACAGCTCCAAACTCACACACACATAGACACTTCCTCAATCCGTGCAGCCAGTCGGCGTGGCCAGTGCCTTTGCTTAGATTCACAGACTTCTGTCTAGCTGCTGCTTTTTTATGATTTAAGAACAAAACTACCACAACAATCAGCCAGAAATGACAGTCGGTGATCAACGTCTTTTCTTTTTTCCTTCGAGCCCTGCTGATATAGGATTGGCTCCTCTCATCTTCTCCTCTAGTCTTTTTTTAAACGAGTATCTGACCTCGGAATTATTTTTAGCAAAGCTTTATGCTGTTAATAAAACATGTCATATAAATCCTGCTTGGCTGTAAAGACTAAATCAGCTCGGTCCTCTAGGAAATGTCAGCAAGTGGGATTTCACACATTGGAAGTGCGATGCACGCCACCACAGCCTGCTCCCAAACGCATCTCGCCTCACCAATTGTTTCCCATTGTTTCAGCGACCGCAAATATGCCGACGATGTGCGCGGATCTGTGCTCGCTGAGAAAGATGAACTCGTTTGTAAAGCGCCTGGCTTTTTTTCTCTTCTCCTTCCCTTTACGGGGGCGGGTAAAGAGGCATCATATTTACAATCCCATGTGTAAAATGTAAACAAAAATAGACAAAGGCGATAAATTACAAAAAAAGTGCAAAGATAGTTGCTACATTTATTACCGTTTAGCACCTCTTTTCAAAACAACAGGACGGGTTCCTGGGCCTTTGGAAGAGGAGCACTACCACATTCTTCTCTGGCAGGATTTGAGCTGTGCTACGGTTCTAGGCCTTCTGTGTCATATTTTGCTTTTCATGCAGGCAGCCATGCTGTTGTAATGGATGCAGTATGTTACTTAGCATGGTTTCGATTAAATATGCAAAAAAATACGTTATCTGGAGGGGAGCATGTGCAGCATCAAATGAGTGCACGCATCTGTGTGCATATACATTTTTGAGAAGTTGACAATGTTTCTGCATCATGTTCAGAAACATGCGCGTTCTTTATTTTGCATGAAGTGAGAGGATGAGTGTAATCTGTTGGTAAAAAAATCTCAGAGACAATAATTTGCCTACACAGTGACACGGTTGTGTCAGTTTTTAATGCAGGGCGGCTTGAGAGCCTGAAGGTCAGGCTGATTTTGTTATGCGTCTCTTGCACAAAGCCACGTCTCCAGATTCTTAAAATCTTAGGATGATAATGGCGTTTTTGCTATTTCACATTGTTATGAATTAACTTTACAATCTGAGGATTGTTGGACTCACAATATCAATATATATTGCGTATTTTGGGCCCTATACATACTAACACGTTGGCTTACACTCATATAGGCTGAGGCCTGCAAGTTTGAGTCACGATCTGTTTTTTACAAAATTTGAAACTTACTTGATTTGATTGAGTAAAACAGACTTATAATGGTTGCAAGACATGTCAGCCAGCTCTCTTTGCATTCTGTTATATGATATATCTACATGGATTTATGTAGGCGCAAGATATGAACACTAAGTGATTTATGCGTTGCAGCAAGCCCACCCACAATTGAGCTGTGGAGGATTTAAAAGATTCTCATCAGGAAACTATAAACAAATCTGCAGCCACGCACAAGCTGCCGGCTCGCTCCGTCTCACTCTACATGTTCCCATCCAGCAGCAAGGCAACGCGACCGTGCATTCAAACACGGAGAATACGCCGATCGATAGGGCTACAAATCCATTAGCAAAACCACTTCCACGGGCTCTCTATTCCCACAGTGCCCAGACGACAGACGGGCCTGCGGATTTTCACTGTGGTTTTCGTCAAATCGCGTCTTTCTTCAAATTATCTTGTAAAACACGCCTCGGCTCCGTCTCGGAGCCACTTCGTTGAAGTCAGTGCTTCGGTTATTTTACAGCCACAAAGCAAAAAAAAATATGCAAAGCGAATGAGAAAAAAAATGTTCAACTAGAGACTCGGCAGCTTTTGCCCTCAGCGTGAACCTTTGACGCATACATGAACTCACACATGGCCTCTGTTTATCAGCCTTGTCCTATTTTTCTACGTCTGGAGATGCGCTGACGTGTGACACGCTGCTGAACGCTAGTCTAGTCCCATCATCATCTATCTACATCACTCATACTTTACCCTCCCCTTCAAGCTCAGAATCCAAGAGAAAAAACAAAAGCTGCTGTATGAACTTGCTCCTTGTTGACGCTCAGTATTCCTAAATATCTTGTCCGCTGGTTACAAAGAATCTCATTTGACATACTTCCAGCATTTTTTCCATTTGCCACACAATGTTGGCGCACATGGAGAGGCAACGTAACACATGTCCATGTCGCCGCGTCCACGTGCGTGCTCACCGAGCCCCGGCCGGATGGTAAATAAAAGATGAAACTGTTCCAGAATTAATACCCTCAAATGCTCGCGCGTCTGCACACGACGATCCCAGACACACTCTGATGTCCTCCTTCTGACGGCTCCTTTTTTTTGGTTGTAATTTCTACCGACAGATGCTGCTTTCTGACGGGGAAAAAAAAAAAAGAAACGTAAAACAAAAAACAAAAACAAACAAGCCGGAAAAGTAGGTCACCGGCATCTTATGCAGTAATCCCGGTTCACTGCGCCCGGGCGCGGCGGGCATGTGCTGGATGTTTCGCCGCCAGAGAGGTCATGATATCCTCTGATGGCACACTCGATTACCCCCCCCCCCCCACACACACACACTCAGGACACTGCAGTCATTGAGTTTGTTTCCATTGAATGGGGGGGATTTTATGAAACAGGACTCCATAGTCGTGGCTGTCTATAAACATCCGTGTGAGACAGATGCCGCTACGCTATAGAACTGGGAGACCCAGAAACAGTCTAATATACCTGGGTGGGTTAAAATGAAGTAATCCAGGGGGCTAATTTGACCCGCCTGGAGGTGTGTGTCTCTCCACGGGCCTAGCGCAGACTCACAAAACACATGAGAAAGCCCAAGACGAGCCAGAAGTTGAGCGAGGTTACGTAAAGAATGGGGTCACCTATCAAAAAGAATGGGCTGCTTTATCTGGCGGGGGCGAGACGTGCGATCAGACACAAGACAAGGGCTTTTCCCAGACAGCGAGCTGTTGAATGGATCCATCAGAGGGGGGGGGGGGCACGTATCGTGTGAAGGGGGAAGTGGCAGAAGTGGCACAAGCAGTGAACAAACGGGAGCGTTTCAAAACACAAACGGGATTAAATCTAGGTCTAAAAATTCTGACACGGTTTATACGTTCCGCCTGATTGGACGGCGGCTTTTTTTACGCTTTCGCAGCAAACCTGGCTTATGTTGCCACCGCCGGAGCAATTTTATATTCTTATTATTAGTATTTGGGGGGGGGAATACTCTGTGCATTCATACTTGAGTGCCGCTCCCATTTGAGCAAATCAATTAAAAAAGGGGCCAAATGTATTTCCTCTTGCCACCTCATAAACCGCTGCAGTAATTACAATACTAAACCACACACACACAAAAAAAAACAACAGCCCCAATCTACAATGAGCTGCTGGCAGCAGGAAAAAAAAAGGAGGCGAGGCTGCAAAGTGGCTGCTAGACATTAAAATTTAATTCAAAACAGTCCCCTGATCCAGACTCTCTCCCGGATCCGTGGGTCACCTACAGTTGACACCGACACACACAGAGATTTTTTGGTGTTTTTGTTGTGGCGCTTGTCACAGGGAACGGGAACGTGGAGGCTTTGGGAAGGACAAAGGAAGACTAAAACTCCGACGTTTGGGAGTGAAGTGAGAGGATGACTGATGATGATGATGGCAGGCTGCGCCGTTTCAATATTCCTCCCCGCTGACACATCCACCGACACACTCCCTCCTCACACACACACTCCCTCCTCACCTCCGCAACATTTAGCACCTGCACCGCTCTGAAAAATCTTTTCTCTTTGAACCGAGTATAACTGGCAAGGAGTCTCTCCGTGTGACAGATGCAGATGGAGCATGAAAAAGGAGAGAGAGAAAAAAAAAAAAAGAGAAGAAATCCTCTCAATTATGACAACATTTCTTTTTTGTGTGTAATTTGCTCTGACAATGATCTGCGGCTGCCTGGAGTCTGCTTCAAAAAAATGACCCCCCCCCCCCCC